CACGCACCGGTTGACACTTGTGTGTTTTTGAGCAAATGTGCTTGACCGAATTGACGCCGACTCATGAAGACGACCGTCATGTGTGATTGCTATGATTTCCGTTGCAGTTGTGAACTTGGCATCATCCAACCGCCGCGGTGCCCACACCCTCGTCTGGCACTGCTCAAGCCGGATGCCCCCACCACCACATGTACATTCTCATGCTTCTCGTTTCTGTGCGTGACCGAGGACACTTTGAGTTGACAACTTGGCCGGAAAGTGATAACGCATGTTTACCGATTTTGGTTAATTCTGCTTTTCTCTTCTCGTTTGTCTCCCCCCTTTCGCGTGCTTCATGTCCACTTTTGTCATTTTCACTTCGTAACCATGCGCCAATTGAGGCATCCTCCTTGTGATTTCGGCCCTCCACACGCTGTCATCCCAATAAACATACTCCATACCGATGCTATCTGCTCTTCGCCACCAACGGTCTCTGTCCACTCTGTTGCCTCGTGACAGAACAGCTTTTAACGGTTGGCGTATCCATCGCGATGTTCGACTTTCGCGAAAATGTCCAAACTTGGCTCGAAATCCCGCTCAACCGAGGCTGTTTTAGGCGGTTATAAGATCGGAAGGTTGGAGTTTGCACAAAAAACAACGAGCACACTTCACAATGTCATTGGCCCAAATAGGTTTTTCCCAGCTCGACTTGACTCCGGTCTCGTTTGCCCCTCAAGTCAACCTCGAGGCCGAACCGTGCACTTTAAGTGGCATTACTTTACCGCTTCACCTAACATAGTCCGACACCTCTGCCCTTTACTCCTTCACCTGGCAACTCGTCTCATTGACACAAATCTGTAGTCGTAACTACGCTAGACGGCACTACTGTTGGCGTAATCAGTAGTACTCAAGATTATGAGTAGAGTTAGCATAAACACCTGATTTTGCCAAGGCTGTTTATGTCGCTGCAAAGACCGGAATTAGAACCCGAAACGACGAATCAAGTAACCTCCTGACAGATCTGACTGTGAAACACAGCCTGGGTTCGAGGGCCGTCGAGCTCCGAATAAAAGTGGTATCGTGATCGTGGAAATGTCTATAATCACTTCCGTAGTGACGGGATGCATCGTTGAGATGTCTTTGTTCCGTCAAGTCATTGAGACCAGGAGCAACTGGACAGACTGTCTCGTCGAAAACCGCTAATTGCGTACAGAATCTGGCATGTCGTTGCTGCTCAAAAGTCATTATAGTCCCGGTTGCAGTTGAACACAGTTTCACCTCTCCGGCTGGACTCGAGCCCGAGCGTTGCGGCATAGTCAAGATTGTAGTCGAGCCTGGCCGGTATGTGAAATTAGGTGAAAACACGAATCTCACTCGTATGAATGTGGCAACATCCAGCTATTACTGCTTCATCACCATCAACTGAATGGGGTGAAATCAGCTCTTATTTTAGACCAACTCATGAGCTGAAAACGAGATTTTCTCCCAAAGCAACTGACCAACCCTTTTTCATTGAATGACCAGCTCATGATTTAGATTCGAATAATCTTGGTTTTCTAAGGACGCATCCTCGAGACGAAAATCTTCACTGCACTACCGCAGCCTGGGCTCGATTCCCGCTGTGGGGCTGACGGGACCCGCGCGAGGTCAGTGCACCAGTTCAATCCAACCTGGACGGAATCACCTTTTGGGAAGCAGGGATGTGTGAAATTGACTGGAAACAAGATTATGGCAAAATTCGGCCATCGGGCTGTCACCAGGTTGTGTGACCACGGACGACTGGAACTCTCATTCGAGATGGACATTTGCCGAATAGTATTTCGGGGCCCGCACATTCTGGCCGCAATGGATTGAAGTGACCAACTGATTCTTCACTGAAATCTACAGAAACGCACAACTCTTACGTCTTTTGCCAGTCAGACCGTACCACAGTCTCCACTCCTGGTCTACATTAACACCCCAGGCGGGACTCGAACCGCGGATGTGTTAATGCCAAGATAGACACGTTTTCACCGGAGCAATGTCCCTTTAGCGACTTTGAAGGTGAAGCAGGTTGTTACTCATTCCAGGTGGTATTTCGCGATTTTCGCCATTAATATGTTGCTGAGATGTTGCCACGGGCTGCGTCGAGCTTGGGGTTGTATTCAAGCCAGCTACGACTTTGGAAGGACGGCTATCAGCCGTTGCCCTCGTACCAAACGACAGTCGCCTCAGCAATGCCATCTCAAGCGATTCATTGAAACGCAATCACTCTACGAAAGCTTAGCTGGGCCGGGTTGCGGCACTGGAAAGTGGCAAAAAAGTCGGGTTTCGAAGTTTCTCTTGTTCCATAATTGTTGAGCTTACTTCCATTTCGAGTGGAAGTAATGTCAACAACTAGAAATTTGGTTGAGTGGAGTCGTTTCGACGCTCAGAAGGATCGAGGAAGCGGTAAAGCAGCAATGGAGCTCGACCCGATGATCCATGCCAACGAAGTCTCTTCACTTTCAGTGGCTTGTATCCAACAGGCCTGCATTGAATGGTACCACGAGCCTCCAGCTGATACAATCTGCCGGAGATTGTATGTCTTAGACCGTCTCTGTTTCGATTGACGAAGTGTAGCTGAGGTTAGATGAGGCTTGGTGGCTGACCTCGTTGTGGGGTTCACATCGTCATTCATACATCGGTCCCACCAGAAGACGACAACGGATCCTGTTTGTCGTCTTCATTTGGTGCTACTGCTGCGTCTACGAGCCATCCTACTTCCGTTGAATCGTCGTCAGTGTGAAGCTTACTTCCATTTCGAGTGAACGTGTGCGGTGAAGAGATTCGCAGGTCGGTTCCACCAGAAGACGACGGCCGATTCTTCTTGATCAGCTTTGCTGGAACATTCCTGCTGACGCTGTTTCCGAGGCAATCTCGTTCGATTCCGGTGAAAAGGTGCTGAGCTTTCGTCCGTCAAGTCAAGAAAACTCGTTAGCTTGACTTTTTTTGTGACGATGATACCTCGCTCCGATGATGTCCGTCACATGACGCACGAAAGCTTAACACCTTTTCACCGGAATCGAACGAGATTGCCTCAGAAACAGCGTCGTCATGAATCTTCCTTAGAGTCAATCGACAGCCGGTCAAGAGGATTCCGCTGTCCTTTTCTGGTGGAACCGAACTTCTAATCTCTTTACCGCACACTTTCACTCGAAATGGAGTTAAGCAAAAACAATTATGAAACAAGAGATTGCTCGAAACCCAACTTTTGTTGGTATACATTAAGTGTTAGCATCGAAACCTAGCCGTACCGAAATACCTCCTTTGATTTTGCTGAAAGCGAACTGAGCGTGTCTGAGTTTCAATAAGTTCTAAATTGTCGCTTCAACTCGCCCTCAAACCAAGTGATAAATGGGTTAGCATGGGCTTTCGTCTGTCTTGCTTGTGGGCGAACCTCATCAAAACTGAATGTCATTTTTACAAAAGCTTTACACTAGCATTAAGTCATAGAGACCAACCGGATCTTCTTTACATGCTAGGTACACTTGTGTTGGTTAGAAAATGACCGAATGAAAAATGAAAATATGGGATTAGATAGTCGTCAGTCCGTGAGCAAAATGTCCAAGTTGAATGGGGTTTTATTAAACGACTTGGTATAAGTGATCCCGGATTATATGTGCGATCCAAATTTAAGGAGGCTTCACACTGGAGGTATTAGCATCAGTGAATCTCTATTTTTTCAAATAAACAATGCTATTGATGAGGCTATATCGGATTCCTCTTGGCTTGCTCTGAATTTTTTTCCTACCAGAAAGACATCGGACCTATGATGGCACCATTCATCAAGTGAGAACGTGCATGCTTTCTGCAGAATGCTATGTATGTCGTTAGTAATGAATTTAGAAAACACTGCATTTCCAAACTTGAACTAATCATTATGAACACAGCAGAAGAAGAGGCTCTCCGCATAGCTGCCAGTTCACACATCGCCAGTTGGGAATATATCGACATCTACTTTGCT